GCATCAATTAGTTGATCTATGAGCGGTAAAGGAAAAGAATCTTTAGGGCAAGCTTTATTCAAGTCAGTATAGTCTACACAAACTCGCCATTTACCATTCTTTTTCGGCACCGCTACAATATTAGCTAGCCAATTAGGATATTTTACGTCTCGGATAGACCTGATTTTTAAAAGCTTTTGTACCTCATCCTGAATCACCTGGTTTTTAAAGGATCCTTGCTTCCTTTTCTTCTATTTGACATGTGGATATGTTGGATCTTCATTTAGCTTATGGGTCATCACCTCCGATGGTATACCTGTCATATCCAAATACGACCAAGCAAAGTAGTCTGCGTTAGCTTTTAAGAATTTAATTAACTTACCTTCATCTCTGCGCTCAGGTTGGTTACGATGTAAACTTTTCTATCCGGCCAATGTATAAACAGCACCACCGCTTCGAGTTCTTCAATTATTGTTTTGATGTTTTCGTTCTCTTCTGGCTCTTGAATGATATCAAGCCTTGAGTCTACATCTTTTTGCCCATCTCCAATTGAGGTTTGTGTTGCTAAATCCTCACCTGAATTCTGTAATTGCTATTTTTTATCTGCAACATCGTTATTTATGCTTGAATCCGCCACTGAATTGATAATTCTAGAAGCTTGCTGATCACCACAGATTTGTCTAATTCCCATTGTGAAGGGAACTTAATAACTTGATGTAACATAGATGGAATAGCATCCATATCATGAATCCAAGGTCTGCCGAGAATCATATCATACGCCATGTCCGTATCTATCACTTGAAATTTTGTATCTTTGACTACTCCTTCTACAAATATGGTGAGCACTATTTTCCCTTTTGTAACAACACTCGAATTGTCAAATCCAGATAAGGTACGTGTTTTGGGCACCAATTTATCATCGACTTGCATCTTGTTTACCACTCTTAAAAGAATGATATTTACAGAGCTACCTAAATCAATCAAAACCCGTTTCACATTAGTATCATGTACAAGTAAAGATATTACCAATGAATTATTATGAGGGATCATCACGCCCTCTGCATCTGCATCATCAAACGTTATGCTATCTTCTTCCAAAACTTGGCAATTCGCTTTTCGTGGGTAACTGTGATTTTGACGTCTTTTTACAGCTATATACGTCACACTGTTGACCTCCTCTCCTCCGCTTATCATATTAACTGTTCTTTTTGGTGACGGAGGTTTTGGTGGCTCCTGTCTATTCTTTATATACGCTTGTTTACCCTTCTCACTAACACAAATCGGTTAAATAACCTTGTTTTAACAAGTGCTCTATTTCACCTTGTAGCAATCTGCAATATGTTGTTTTATGACTGTTATCACTATGAAACTCGCACTAGAAATCTGGATTTCTTCTGTTAGGGTTAGATCTCATTTCTTTTGGCCACCGCACCTTATCTCTCATACTTCTTAAAACAGCTACCAAATCTGAAATGCTAAAATTGAAACTATAATCACCAATCATTGCCTTTGTATTAACATTGTTATCTCGCGTATCTCGCTCCTTTCTAAACTTGGATGATGAACCCACATCTTTGTCCCTTGATCTAGAACCGTACCTCGGGTTTTCGTGTTTAGAACGTGAATCCCTTTCTGCTGATCCCATATAAGGTTTGTACATGTTCTTACCGAACCTTTTTTTAGTTTCTAGTTGCCTCGAACTTGTTCTTTCATCTCCCCGTGATTGAGTGATAGTATTTTCTTCTATCCGCAGCTTCGTGTTATACCTATTATAAACATCATTCCAAGTTGTAGCATATAATTCTCATAATCTTTCTTTGAGTCTCCTCGTGGCTTCTGAGCTTTTTTCATTTAGGTTACTTGCAAATTCCATGGCCGCCCAATTATCAGGTACACGTGGTAACATCATTTTTTCACGCTGAAATCTATCCACAAATTCCTTGAGTAGCTCTGTATCTCCTTGTTTTATTTTGAAGATGTCTTCCATCCTCTTTTCAACTTTGAGCTCCCGAGTGTGCTTTTATAAATGAATCTGCAAGTTCAGCAAAAGAATCAATAAAATTTTCATGTAAAAGAGAATACCATATTAGTGCTCCTTTTGTGAGTGTTTCGCCAAATTTTTTGACCAGCACCGACTCAATTTCTTGCTTGATTAAGTTGCCTTTCATGCCAGTTGTAAACGCAGTTACATGGTCTCGTGGGTCGGTTGTTCCATCATACTTCAGAATATCGGGCATCCTAAACTTTTTTGGAATCGGCAAGGGAGCAGCAATTGGCTTCCAGGGCTATTGAAAATATTTATCAATATCCACTCCTTTAATCACGGGTGGCACACCGGGTCTTTGCTCTATGCGATCATTCTGCTCCTTGAGCTGCTTCTGCAAAGTTAGTACTAAACTTTGTAAATCAGAATTATTTGGGTACCGAAGGGATTGGAGTTTCATCCTCTTGTTGATTCTGTTGGTTCAGTTGGTTTTGTTAGTTGTTGTCATTGGCAGTCGACATGATTGTTTGATAGAAAAATGAATTTGAAAAGTGAAAAGATTATCAGATCTCCGATAACAGAACCAATTTGTTTAACCAAAAAATGCATCTTTCGGTCCAAGCCTATTTTTAGAAGAACTCGGGTTACTGATAACCAAGAAATTTTGTACTTTCTCAATTATATGAAAGAAAATAAACAAGAATAAGTAAGGAAATAACTGATTGCAAAGTTAATATAGAGAAAAGCAGAAAAGTAAAGTGAATATATTCCAATATTGACTCAGATGTCTTTACAAATGAATTTCTCTTCCCTTCTATAGGAATTTACAAGTATAACATTTCCTTCTTTTTATGGCTGGATCATTATGAACATTAATGGCATTAATGATCCGTTATAATTGGCAATCGTAACTGTTTATGGAGATTCTATAATGGTTCCAATTCTTTTTCCTCATTAATTAGAGGTTCGTGAATCTTTCCCTTTTTACTATCTTGATTCATTCAGCCCATATTTACTGAATGATTTAGACTCGAGCAACCACATCTCTTCATCTCGTGAGTGATTTGCCCGTGCCTTTTGTATCTCGTGCATCTTCTAATGCAATATTATAGTTGGCACCTTCTTAGTGATCCATGTATCATGCCCTGTCAGCCACACATAATTCCACGTGTCATATTTATTTTATACTAATACAAGCTGCATTTTCGGAACCCTCATCTAAAGATATTATCATTATCTAGGTTTAATCAATCATTATATAAGTATAATCATTTTAATCGAAAGTTAACATTTTTTATCAAACAATAGTGAATACTAAAATAAGGTAAAAATTAGAGCATTTTGAATAAAATGACAAACGCTTTTGATAAGTATACATATATGATATGGTAACATCTTAACCTTCGTTAAGGGTATGTTTTGGAGGCTAACTTGTGATTGGATTTGGGTGATAATAATTTGAACTGTTTATCTGAAAATAGATTTTTTATAGGGAAGCAATTACACTCATCAATTTTCAACAGAGCAAAAAATTGGTGGTAGTTACACACTTACACCATGCAACTACAAAATGACTTTTCAGTTTTTTCCATATTTAATATTTCTTGTACACTTATACTTGACACACATTAAAACCTATTTACATAATCATTTGAAAATTAATTAGTTAATTTTATAATAAGGTTTTGTTTTAATCTAAAATAAACGAATATCAAATATAATTACACTTGTGTAACCATGATACTAGAAATTACACTACAATTATGTTATAATAGATAAAAATATCATTATAATTATCATAATGTGTAATTAATTGACTGTATAATTATTATTATTATCCTATTAATAATTACACATCCTAGTAATTATCTAAACAAATCCTAATTCCATCTCAAACAAGGATAAGGGGTGATGACTAGGGGTGAGCATCAGTCGGTCCGGTTATGAATATTATCGGTTTAACATATCGATTATCGGTTTATAAATTTAATAAACTGATAACTGAACCGATAAGATATCGGTTATCGGATATCGGCTTATCGGTTATCGATCATTATCGGTTCAGTCATTGATTTACCCGATAAGATAATTCAATCTAGAGTTAAGCAAAAAAGAAAAAAGAAAAGAAGTGAAACCTATAACAAAATCGAAACAATTTCAGACCCCACAAAAGAAAGGAAAGGATCAGCTCTTGGAATTTATTTTTCTGAGAAGTCAAACCTACCTCTAACCAAAAATCTACTGAACTTAATCAAACCCCATAATCATGTTAAGTTCTTGAATATACTTTAGCTAGTCAACCCTAAAAGATTTTTAAAACACTGAATTCATCAAATCACATAAGAAAAGTCACAAAGAAACACTAAACAACAACAACAACAATAACAACAACCCACAATAACAACAACCCAGTATAATCCCACTTAGTGGGGTCTGGGGAGGGTAGTGTGTACGCAGACCTTACCCCTACCCTGGGGTAGAGAGGCTGTTTCCAAATAGACCCCCGGCATCCTTCCCTCCAAGAACTTCCCACCTTGCTCTTGGGGAGACTCGAACTCACAACCTCTTGGTTGGAAGTGGAGGTTGCTTACCATCAGAGCAACCCCTCTTGTCCAAACAATTGATTTCAACATTATTACCTTCAAGATTATAACATTTTACAACTAAAAACACAATCAGACACATAAATAGGAAAGAATGGAGTGAAGCCAAAACATATGTATATACTTAAGGATAAAGTAGTAATTTCGTTAATTCTTATTGGGTTATCGGTTAACCCATTAACAAAATTGACAAATCCAGGCCCGAACCGATAACCCAATAGTAAAAAAATTCTAAACCGTTACCAAACCGTTAACCCAATAACCTAATATCAATAACCCAATAAATAATTAACGGTTCGGATTATCAGTTTTACCATATATATATATATATATATATATATATATATATATATATATATGCCGTGATGACTACTCCTAAAGTTGAGGCATACAAATGAAATAAGTTAAGGGGCTAACTTATGTATAATTTCCATTTTCTTGACCAACCAACATCAAACCCTGCACTATAATAACCCAACTATTTGTCACTTTGCGCCGAATGTCAATAACAAAATCTGGGCTTTTGGAGCGCTCTCGCAATACCCTTTTTGTCTTCCCACAAACTGGAATTGCGTTTCAATGGCGATAACGAGTGGCTTGGCAACCTCTTGTGCAGTTGCAGGCTTAAAATCTAAGGCAAAATCAGGTGTCAGTTTGCTTTTCAGTTCTTCAGCTTCTTCTCTTTCTATCGATCGATCGCTTATTTTGGTCATCAAGTTAGATTTTTCTGCAGTCGTCGAAGCATTAAGACGTTTGGTTTATTGTACGAGATCGCACTTGTTGAGCCCTAGATGTGACGTTGGTTCGAACTCAGTGGTTAAAAATGGTGATAAGGAATCCAAAGCTTCCATTTTTGCAGCTTTCCGTCTTCGCAAGAATCTGCTGCTGCTGATAGTAAGCCTCCTTTCCTTTATTATACGGATTTTAATAAGTATTTTTATTCCTCCCATTGTTATAACTAAGAAATATGATACTAGATGAAACCAAGATATCAAATGACTTGGACAAGATTAATAATCTCTAGTGATCAACATCCCTATTGCCCATTTTTGCTCAGCTTCCCTTCGTTAGATACTGACTTTTTATATGTGTATGTTCAAGTCCAACTCGAAAATATTACTAACTAGAATTTAACTGCTTTCTCGGGCTTCGATTTTATTTTTATCTTGTTGTCTTGTTGCCATTACTCTTTTTCATCCTTTGTGTAGCCACGGGTCTATCTATAATAGCTTATCCGTCGTTCCAGGATAGGGGGCCCCAAACTATAGGAAATCACCGTGTTTGTTGTTATTTTTTGTTGTATGTCCAACTCAAAAATATTGAATATTTCAAGACGACATGCTATGCCTCCGCCCTATTTTAGTTTGTAAATATTCTCAGTCAGCTTGAGGATTGTCCAATGGCCAGATGGGTTTTTACTTTGCTTACTCGGAGTTCTTTCTGTCTAGTCTAGCTAGTTTGCTTCTTTTGTAGTATATTGCAATGACAAAGAAACTTTTGGAACAGATTGGCGGAGTAAAGGACCAGCTTGGAAGTCATGGCCTGAGTTGGCAGGCGTGACAACAGAGGAAGCAAAAAGGAAGAAGATAAAGGTGGAGAAACCAGAGCTGTACATGCATATAATTCCACTCCGTTCCTGTGTGAGAGATGTTGAAATCGTACAGCTCGAAAATACAACTCGAAAATATTTTAGGGCATGCTGTTGGTGATCCCTCGCCCTATTTTAGTCAGCTTGAGATAGGCCAAATAGGCTTTTGCTTTGTTTACTCGGAGTTCTTTCTGTCTAATATTTAGTCTAGTTTGCTTCTTTGCGTTCACTTGCTTATTTTGTAGTACTATAATATTGCAGATGAAGAAACTTTTGAAACAGATTGCAATAATGAAGAAATTCTTGGAGCAGATTGGTGGAGTACACCAGCAGAGGAAGCAGAACCAGAGCTGGACATGCGTATAATTCCGCCCTGTTACTCTGATTTTGATGTCCATATAATTGCTGATAGTAAGCCTCCGTTCCTTTATTATATGGATATTACATATTATTTTTGTTCTCCCCATTTTTATAACCAAGAAATATGATTGATGAAACCAAGACCAATAAACTCTAGTGATCACCAGCCCTATTACCCATTTTTGGTTAGCTTCTATATTCCTTCTCCTTGTTATATAATTTTATATTACGTGTATGCTCCGCTCAAAAATATTGAATATTTCAAGATATTATCCTTTGGGAAGGTCAGGATCCATGTAGCTAGTGATCCCTCGCCCTATTTTAGTTTGTCTTCTCAGTCAGTTTGAGATTTGCCAGATGGGCTTTTGCTTTTTTTACTCGGAGTTCTTTCTATTTAGTCTAGTTTGCTTCTTTGCGTTCACTTGCTTATTTTGTAATACTATAATATTGCAGATGAAGAAACTTTTGGAACAGATTGGCGGAGTAAACTAGCTGGGAAGTCATGGCCTACGTTGGTTGGCCTGTCAACAGAGGAAGCAGAAAGGAAGATAAAGGAGGAGAACCCAAAGCTGCACCTACATATAATTCCAGCCAATTCAATGGTGACTTTGGATTACTGTTCAAATAGGGTCCGTATCTTTGCTGATAAATATGGAAAAGTTGCCTCGGTCCCTAGCATTGGCTAATCATCTTCTCAAAAGAACTTATGAACACTGAGGATCAAAATGCCTCTTTTGGTTTTCTCTGTGAACTAATGTTGAACTACTGTGTCTATTTCTCTGTCGTCTATCCAATCTGGTTTCTCCACGGAATATGAATAAAGGCTGGGCAAATATACTATTATATCCATGGGTTCTTGTTTATAAAGTAAAAGCTTCTTTCTTTAATATAGCTATGGTGCTGTGGGCAGTCAGACATCAAGATTGTTTTGTAGATATATATATATATATATATATATCTTAATTAACTGGTAATACTTCCGTGAATCTATTTCTTTTTTAGTCCGTATCAGCTGCATTGTAGGGGATATAAGTTAACTTTTAGTTCCTGAGTTCGATTCTCATTCTAGTATTTACTCAAATTTTTATTCGACAGTAATGTCCCCACTTTTAAATTTTGGGTATGCCTCTGCTTGCACGAACCTTGGTGTCCATTTCACCTGGTATCTTACATGCTACCTAAGTCCTAACTAGCAGACACTTGGTAATTCTACTCATCACCTAATGTTTTTGTGTCCGTTGAGATTTGAGTTCTTGTATCTCATACTACTATTTTAAATACTTCATTTATCGTTAGACTACAGTTTAATTGGACGCGAGTGGGCGACAAGTAGACCTATGACATTGGTTACGCAAGTAGACAAGTGGGTACAAGGGATCCAATTACCTGCTGGCGGCACATTGACATAGGGATTAGGCAGCAGCACTCGCATAATAATCGTATATTTTGGTATATCCATATTGTACTATGTGGTCAAATTTCGCATCAGAGACCAGGATTTCACCTTTAGGCTTTAGCCACCAGCTCCTATTTAAATAAGAGACACAAGGCATCTGATGGCGATACTAAGCATAAACACTAGCCTTTCAATAAAAGAATTGTAACCTCACATGTAAACTTCCTGTTTTTGTTTGTTTGTCCCTCTCACCTCCGGTTCTGCGGTTCATATGCGCAAACAAATACTTCTATTTGATTTGCAAAAATAACCAATTAACAGTGAGAAGTGTGACCGGTGTGCCAACAAAGTTTTACGTTTAAAGTTGATAAACAAATAGATAAATAAATCATATATAAAATATAATATTATTCTTAATAGTTTGAGGTATTTTCAGAAAAAATTATGCTTAAAGAACAATCAGGTGCACAAAGCATTCCGTACTCACGCAAGGTTTGGGAAAGAGTCACACCCTTTGGAGATATTATGTAGACGGCCTACTCTATTTCAACCATTAATGACCGCATTCACGAGTCAAACTCGTGATTTACAGGTCACACAGAAAACAATTCTACCATAAAAGTATAATTTGGCTTAAAACAAACTATACCGCAAAATGCAAAAGCATCTTTGAGCTGGTGAAATGCCAGTTGACTCAGTTGCAAAAAGTAAAAGGAAAGGAAACATTAATAAAGGAGGAAAACCATAAAGAAGGAGTAACAACTATGGAAAAGACAAAGGCGGAAGTTTAATGGATTGCGCATTTCGACGCCAAAAATGATAATGTCAGAACGCACAACAGAATAGACCCCTCACGGCTCTCATGTAAGACATTCAAAAATCTATTTCCTCATTAAAATCGAAAAAGAATTGGTGGTTTGCTGAAGCCGCAGCAACCACCCCTTCTTTTTCACCCTCCGCCACCGCCACCGCCACTTCCCGGCGGTAAGTGACTCTTCTCCGAACCTTCAGGCTCCGAATACCCATTAGCTCGTCAGGTAACTAATTTCTCATTATCTTTCTTAATAACGTTGCGCATTTCATTACATATATCTTTACCCTTTTGATGGAAGAAGTTTCTTTAGCTGGATTTCTCTCCTTAAATCCAGAAACCCTTTTGATATCGGGCGGTGAAGAATTATAAAACAAACGTCATTATTTGCAAGTTTAAATCTTTATCATTGTAAACATTGGAAAAGGCTTGATGTCTGGAATTTCCATGTGGAGCTTATAGTTAAAACGTAAAGAAATGCCCAGCTCTTAGACAAGAATAACTATGCCTCAATCCCAAATTTATTTGGGTCAAATATATATGTCTTCTATACCCATTATGCTCTTTTTTCAGTTTGGTTCATTCGAATACTCAATAATGAAGACAAATTAGGGGTCTCTAAAATTAGAGATTCTCTAAATGCCACCTTGTGAAAAATGAAGTTGAAATGTTAATCGAGCTTATTTGTCTTGAAGTGAAGAAAGAATTTCAAAGCATTGTATAAAATATCTTCACTTGTATGATGTTTGTGGTCATAGATTGGGAACATGAAGCTAGGCACCCATTAATAAAGTAGGTAAGAGAGAATTTGGTTGGTGAATTCTATCTGTTGAGATATTTATGCGCCTCGGGTTTGCTTTTGCAGGATTAAGGAGGGAAAACTTGGGCCTGAAATGGAAACTAGATCGGAAAAATTTTCTGTGGATTTTCTCATGGGCGGAACAGCAGCCATTGTAGCAAAAAGTGCTGCAGCACCAATTGAAAGAGTAAAACTTCTGTTGCAGAATCAGGGAGAATTGATGAAGAGAGGTCAACTTAAGAGACCTTATATGGGAATTAGTGATTGCTTTCAAAGAGTTTTGCGGGAGGAGGGTCTTGTCTCATTGTGGAGGGGAAACCAGGCCAATGTTATAAGATATTTCCCAACTCAGGTGGGTCATAAATTATTTTATTTTGCCTTGGACTTGGACAGTTCATGATGATTACTCTACTGAGTCATCCTTTACGTGTTTCTTGAATGGATTCACAATGTTCTCTGTATGATTCAGACCCCTTCTAGGTTCGTAAAGTAAGGTTTTCCTTAGCTACCATGTCAAAGCAGCTTTTTTACTTAATGATCGTTAAGATTATGCTCATCTCTACAAGTGACCTAATGTAACCACATCTAACATTGTCTGCTACACAACGTGCAAAGGTGGTATTTTCTGATAAATTTATAAAGCAAACAATAGATCCAACCAGTGCTCACTTCAGTGATACAACAACAACAACCCAATATAATCCCACTTAGTGAGGTCTGGGAGGGTAGTCTGTACGCAGACCTTATCCCTACCCTGGGGTAAAGAGGCTGTTTCCAAATAGACCCCCGGCATCCTTCCCTCCAAGAACTTCCCACCTTGCTCACTTCAGTGATGTGAATGGAAAATTACTCCTGCACGATCCACTTCTCCCTTACAATCTCAGATAACAGATCTAAATTATTTCTCCTAAATGTTTTATAACATAGGCTACAAAAAGAGGGACGTGTAATATAGAGATTTAAAGTACAAAGTAAAGAGTACAACAACTACGCATCAGTCAAGTTTGTCGGCATCCTCTATATGAGTCCTCACTATTAAGAAACCTTCCGAGAGTACTTTCTGCTATATAAGTGCACTACTGTTTGTAAAGAATTGCAATAAAGGGAAGTTGTTTTTCCTCTGGTATCAGAATTTATAGCTTTCAATTAGATTCCAAGATATCGTCATAACATTTCGACATGTAGGTTTACAGCTCATTTGATGCCAAGTATACCACTTTACTTGGACAAGCTACTCTTCTTTGTCTTGGGAAAATCTGTGTCTTGCAGTTATAGGCTCTAGAAGACTTGTCACATGTAGGTCTAAATCTCAGTTGCCAAGTTTGTCAGTTTACAGCGACAAGTTAAGCTTTTTAGTAGAAAAAATTGTGTCTTGCTGCTACAAGCTGTAGGTAGACGTGTTATGTACTTTATTTTTCATAGAAGACTGAAAAATATCCAATTAGGAGTATACTTGAATGGATCTGTTGCTTTCTTCCTTTTCATATCTAATGCCATTCTTATTCTGTTGTGTTTTCCATGTTTTAGCAAAATTCAAATGTATGAATTTATTGATTATACTCCCTGTGCAAAGCTTTTTCATGCTTTTAAGGTGTTATAGATAGAAGATCTCTTCTCAGTGTAACCTTTACCCACTTTCTCCGAAGTGGTCTCTTGGTTGTCTGTCTCTCTTAAATATACGAAGTTAGAGGAAGTCTAAGGTGACTGCCGTAGCTTCAGGAACCAAAGCGCTCCCACCACCTAGCCACTGACCGCAATAAAGGACAGGAATTGATAGAGTTGAGTGAATTTGCAATATGTTTCGAAGTGGCCACCGAAAAGGACTATTAGCCTTTTAGTTTTTATTCTAGCTACAAACTGGAATTCAGATAGACTTCCTGTTATCCTTAGAATAATTTCACAGCTTATTATAGCTCTTGATTATGATGATTGCTTCAATAGTCAGCTATGCGAGAAAGCTTATTGCATAGTTTCAGTATCCATCAACAAGGGTACCGCAGAAGTGCCGCCATACATGCAGTGAAGGAGAAAGGTTATTGGAATCATATCTAAGTTATATTTGACTAATAATGCAGAGAAGTTCCCTGACGACATGACCAAAACTTGAGGGCCCCATGCTAACTGTTCTGAGAGATGTTATTACTATGAAAATAAGGTGAATGCCTAAAGGCACAAGATTTACCCTCATGCTCTCCATGACATTTAGAGCATGCATTGCATTAATGTAAGTATGAGCCTGGAGTTTGCCGTAAATATTAGTTGCTCCTATTCAAACTTAGCACCTTTCCAAGCAATCCTCCTTGGACTCTACTCACCAGGACCTCAAGCACAATCTCAAGCATATTTGGAATTAATAGTGAAATATCGTGAGCTCCAATATGTTCTTCTCATATCTTAGTCTGAGTGGAAAATTACTCTCTATTTTTGGGTCCGACATCTGAATCATTATCAAATTCACTTTGGGTATGGTGGTATAGGCCTTTATTTGTTTGTTATCTGAAACCATACATGGAGGAGGGATGGACATGTCTTCTTTAATTCCTCGTAACCTATATGAAAAATGAATGTGTTCATGCCTATACAAAGATGTATTTTACAACGTCTGCATATTTCCTATCTAGATTTCTGCCTAGTTGATTGTTCATAAACCTTCTTTACAACTAAGAAGAAATCTGTGATTGCTGCTGTTATTATTGTGTTCGGGATATGTGCGGTCTAGCTACATTCATCTCAAGATCTTAGGGAAATATTGTTGAGTTTTGGTTGAAATAATGCTCTGCATATGCGGTGCACTCTATCTGTGATGAACTCCACATGAATCACTTAAATAGTCTCAT